AGATTAAGGGATGAAAAAAGGGCAGTTCGACGGAGAATTACATTCTTCCTTAATTAACCCTATTTCATTCGTTAATCTTTGTAACAAAAAAATGAAAATNTTCCTAATTGAGATTAAGGGATGAAAAACGGACAGTTCGACGGAGAATTAAATTCCCCATCAATTAACCCTCTTTCATCCCTTAATCTCTGTAACAAAAAAATATAAACTGCCATGAAAGTCATGGGCCAGTGAGAAAAATAATAGTTTCGCGGCGCACAGTGACTCCCGGTAATTAAAAATTCACCTCTCCCCTCCTAATTGAGATTAAGGGATGAAAAAAGGGCAGTTCGACGGAGAATTAAATTCCCCATCAATTAACCCTCTTTCATCCCTTAATCTCTGTAACAAAAAAATAAAAACTGCCATGAAAGTCATGGGCCAGTGAGAAAAATAATAGTTTCGCGGCGCACAGTGACTCCCGGTAATTAAAAATTCACCTCTCCCCTCCTAATTGAGATTAAGGGATGAAAAAAGGGCAGTTCGACGGAGAATTAAATTCCCCATCAATTAACCCTCTTTCATCCCTTAATCTCTGTAACAAAAAAATATAAACTGCCATGAAACTCAGGGGCCAGTAAGAAAAATAATTCTTTCGCAGCGCACACTGACTTTTCACCATTCGCCCGGTAATTAAAACAAATCGTAAAGACCTGAAAGGGTATACGAGAAGAAAAAAATTGGAAATTTAACAATAAAAACTGCCATCGAACTCATGGGTCAGTAAGAAAAATCATTGTTCCGCGGCGCACGGTGACTTTTCACCATTCGCCCGCAAAATTCACTTCTCCCCTCCTAATTGAGATTAAGGGATGAAAAAAAGCCAGTTCGACTGAGAATTAAATTCCTCATCAACTGCCCTTTTTTCATCCCTTAATCTCAATTAGGAGGGGAGAGGTGAATTTTTAATTCGCGGGCGAATGGTGAAAAGTCAGTGTGCGCCGCGAAAGAATTATTTTTCTTACTGGCCCCTGAGTTTCATGGCAGTTTATATTTTTTTGTTACAGAGATTAAGGGATGAAAGAGGGATTATTGGTGGGGAATTTAATTCTCCGTCGAACTGCCGTTTTTTCATCCCTTAATCTCAATTAGGAGGGGAGAGGTAAATTTTTAATTACCGGGAGTCACTGTGCGCCGCGAAACTATTATTTTTCTCACTGGCCCATGACTTTCATGGCAGTTTTTATTTTTTTGTTACAGAGATTAAGGGATGAAAGAGGGTTAATTGATGGGGAATTTAATTCTCCGTCGAACTGCCATTTTTTCATCCCTTAATCTCAATTAGGAGGGGAGAGGTGAATTTTTAATTCGCGGGCGAATGGTGAAAAGTCAGTGTGCGCCGCGAAAGAATTATTTTTCTTACTGGCCCCTGAGTTTCATGGCAGTTTATATTTTTTTGTTACAGAGATTAAGGGATGAAAGAGGGTTAATTGATGAAGAATTTAATTCTCCGTCGAACTGCCCTTTTTTCATCCCTTAATCTCAATTAGGAAGGGAGAGGTGAATTTTTAATTACGGGGAGTCTCTGTGCGCCGCAAAACAATTATTTTTCTTACTGCGCTGTTATTTCCATGACAGTTTCTTCCATTTTTCACAGAGATTAAGGGATGAAAGAGGGTCAGTTAGTGGGGAATTTAATTCTCCATCGAACTACTCTTTTTTCATCCCTCAATCTCAAACAGGAGGGGAGAAGTGAATTTTTAATTCGCGAGCGAATGGTGAAAAGTCACTGTGCGCCGAGAACTAAATAATTTTTCTCACTGGCCCATGACTTTGTCGTAGTTTGTATTTTTTTGTTACAGAGATTAAGGGATGCAACGGGGATCGATTGATAGGGAATTTAATTCTCCGTCACACCCTCTGTGTTTCACTCCTTAATATTAATTAGCCGGCAAATGAATCACCTGAAAAACATTAAGAACTTGTTGATGACGAGGAGGACATAAATTCCCCTCCGAAACTATCCCTGTGACAGCGGGACTGCTACTGCCGAGTTACCCGCACAGGCAGTACGCCCAGCCGTCATATTCGACCGTGGCGGCATCCCTCCGTTGGGGTCGAACTACTTTTGGCTTGGGGTCAGTCCAACCCCGAGATCTGAGCCTCTACTTTCGTCAATCCTCTTTGGTCAAACCCCCCGATCCGGGCCTCTATACTCAGGTCTATCCTCTGATATTTTCCATTAAAACCCTTTCTGTTGAAACCAATCAACTACAAGATCGTAGCACAATTTTTAATCATTTCTTAATTAGTTAGTTGATCTGATGCTGCTTCAAAAAATTTAATTATGCCCTTTAGGTAATTCCATGGAGACTCTAGTGAAATACTATTGAAGAGAAAGATGCCATTTTTCTTTGATTGGTTTCCCCTTAAAAATCGATAGCTAGTTCAAGTAAATGTTATAGATATATTCGTCAAAATATTGTATTAAAAAAAGTAACATATGCTTTTTTTATTCCACCGATATTTCTATTCCGTTGATATTTCATCTATAAAAACTCCCGACCACGAATTTGCTAAGTTTCTTTCCACTGTATTTTTTCTTCTCTGACTTTCCTTCTTTTCAAAAATGTAAAAACCATCAACAGATCTACAGTGATAGAAAAATCAAAAGCCATCACTTTCTATCATATTATAAAAATTATGAAAAGATCTAAATCCAAAGAATAGAATTCTGTGACTGAAAATACCAAAGAATTCCTCCGAGTTATAATCACCAATACATGCCTTCAGAATAGAAATGATGATGTCGAATCGAATGGTGAATTCAATCTTTGTGTCAGAATCTTATTAGTAGGGAAATTACTAGCCAATCAACCCAAAGAGGGAAAGTGCCGTTGCTTATCCGATGCCTAAAATCAGATAGATCGTATTCCGATATGGACGCTTATTTTATAAAAAAAATTGTTTTTCAGAATAATGAAAGAGTGCCTCAATGACATGGATTGGAATATACTAGGGATATGCTTCTAGATCAATTGAAATTTTATATTTCTTGAAGTTCATATATTCTCACCGCAGAGGTATTGGAAAGAAATAAAGCAAACTGGGTGAAATGAGATGCAGGTTCAATGAATGATTTCGAACTGGACGAAGCCAGGATCGGCTGCTGGGGGTCGAAAACTATGGTAGCGATTGAGAATTCCGGAATATTACGAGAGATTAATTGATTTTTACCACCAAAAAGCTAAAAGTGGACTACCTTTGACCACCTTCGAACCACCAAGCGATTGCAATAATCCAAATTTGCATTCCCCCCTACCGCCCGCTAGCTATAAGTAGCTCTTTAAACCTTATTGTTATTCTACTCTTGTAAATGGTTTTTTCGCCTCCCTCTCCCGCACTTTTTTAAAGCCTTATGATTGTTTGACTCTTCTTAGCACTTCGCCCGTCTCCCGGTATTTTCTGACGTTGTGCTTCTTCGTTTGACCCTTGAGATACTTTGACTCTCAGTTCAAAGTCTCACTTGTCGCAACACCAAAAATAAAGACAGAAAAATTTGGAAACTTCCCCAATTTGTCAACAGAAGAAGGAAAAACTGATTGTGAGAAAAAGTTGGGGAACGACCTCAAACAAAAGATTGAAATCATCTTTTTGAGTTTTATATATCACAATACCTGGATATATAGAAACGATAGAAACCGACATTTTTTTCGAAGAGTGGAGAAAATTTCTTACAAAGTCTATGTTTGAATATTTCTTTTGGCGTCAATAGAGGTTCGTAATTAGAATTGAAAGAAAAAATTTTCAGAAAGTAGAAAAAACAATCCTCGATATTGAGTCAATGATTGAGTTGGAGAGCTCCCGTTATGCTCATTGTTTTTATTTTGCACTGGACTTTCCGATGGAGAATACAGGAAACGTTTTAAAATTTCAACGGCAATTCTTCGTATACAAAATAGGGAACTTGCATGAAGCTCAATTCTTTCTAATTCCCCTGTTCACACACTTCTCGTAACCTATGGATAGCTAAACAGTGAAAATTATGGAGAAATATTGTCTAGATGTCTTATGATAATGAATTGAAAATCAGTCGTTTTTGGGGCCAATTTTTCAATCATGACGTCATGAAGATAGGTAACACTTCATTGGTCGAAAAAGAAGAGAGTGGGGAGCTGTTGTCCTTCATTGGCCGAGGCACACCTCAAGATTGGGTTAGGTCGGCTCGAGCCATTCTGTGATTGATCCAGCCCTCGACCGTCTGTGTGACGTCATTAGCGATTTCAAAGTTGGGGATAAAGTAAGTCGGCCCATGGTAACGCAGATAGGGAAGGGAACAAAATGTAAAAACCCGAGAGGGTATACATATGGAACCAAAAATATACACCCGTTCATAGAAAGTTCTCAAGATATTTCCGTTTTTTCATAAAAAAAATTTGTAATCCCTCTAGTTTGTGCAAAAATCGAGATATCAACTTGAAATTTGAATTTCACGCACATATTGCACGCACATTGGACGTATAGGCTTTCCCGTAGAAATTTCTCCATTCGGAAGAAAAAATTGCACAATATAAGTCGGAGATGAAAAATGTTATGAGATGAATTCCATCGGATATGCATGCGAACGGGGGAAAAGTGAGTAGGCAATTCACCAGCCACGTGATTGGCTCGGTAAGGAGTATTCTTATGAAAAATTATCAAAGACATTCCTAAAAGAAAAATCTATTGATATTCTGTCCTAACTCGACTCATTACCAAAACAATTAATCAGCAAAGTGGACCATGAAATTATTTTTCGAAACACCAGGTGAAAGAGCAGTTCCTTTTATTTATTCTTCTCCATATTTTTTCTATTAAATTTGCGAAGCCAACACTTTAGTGATAATGAAAGAAACAAAAATATCAGCAAATTATTAGCGACATTCTCGAAAAGACATTCTCTCATCGATCCTTTGGTCTTAGTGTAATCTCATTTATCACTATCACTTGAAAATGTTTCTTTATTGATTAATTATTAATTTGGTATAGCCTAGGGATACCTTTATTATTGCATTAATAATTGCTTTTTTCTCATCAAGTTTATCTTTTTTTTTGCTAGTAAAACATAAGTGAACGTATTTCATCGGAATTATTAAAAAAATCCTCCATCTGGCTTTTTATCTTAAGTAATTCACAAGTTCATTCTTCTCTTCCATTACATTAACATAGTTGGAAAGCTACGTCCTGTTACGAGTGGAGTTATTCTCGGTGATTTAAGGCATGACTTTGCTATCGTAACGGTCGCGTTGAATGCACGTGTTGAAGGCCTCGACCGCACGACATCCCAAATCCCTCAATCATTCATTATTAATTTCAATGTGGATCAAAAGAAAACTTTCTATCTAGATCTTTAGCCTTTCCACAGTAGTTTAAAATGTTCCTCCAGCATTTAGGAGTGAGAAAGTGCATAAAGGGTCGAGATATCGAGGTTGATGGAGCAGCGAAACCGTGAGAAAGAAAGCAATAATTCAATATTTCACGTAAAAATTGAGTGAATTTTCACCTCATGACTTAATTAATCTTTAATTATTTTCAATTCGGATAATTTTTGAAAAGCACAAGACGTTTTTACTAATTACGATGTTATTTATTAAATTCTTGTTATATCGCGTTCCCATTCCACTCAATTTCAATTCTTTTTTTTTTCTCTGACAATTATCTGAAAATTATTAATTTCGTTTTTATTCTCTCGTTAAGTTTGAAAATACGATTTTGGACCACCTTTGCCAAAATGAAAGGTGTCGATGGAGTTATATATCTATATATATTTCAACTGTATCTGTTGTACATGAGTGTGTGTGTGGTATGTGCTAGATTGATAATTAATATTTCCTCATGATTTAATCATTCCTCTACCCTTAACTTGACGTTTTTTTTCATTCCTTATAAATTCCACTCAGGGTTAGAGACATGGGCACCAATGAGTTAAAAATCAAACAATATGTGTCATTCTTTTAATCATTTGGTAACTAGATGTTGTCTCATGCCACTGCAATAAGGAAGATGCGAAGAATTATGGTTGTTGTTAGGCTAAAAGGTACTACCCTCTGGTGGCTGGGACAGTTTCATGTTTTCTTTGAGTGTCATTAAACGGCGTAACTCTTGAAGAACTGTCTTGATTGTGTACTCGCGTTGCCACTTTGCCAGTACTGGTACACTGCGATTGTCCACCTAAATTGATTGGAGAAATTGATTATTGAAAATAATTGGTTAAGGTATTTGATGGGATATCAATTTTTCTCATTATGGCGCCATTGCTCTAAGCCCTGTTAAGAAAGCAAATAAATCCTAATAAAGGGTAAAATTTATCCTCGGGTTAAATTATATCTTAGCTATAATTTTGAATATTTAACGTGAAGAATAATTTTTCATTCATCCTGTAGTCTGATTTGTATCAACACTGATTTAATTCTGGGATTCATTTTTTTTTCTTCTTGGGATAAAATTTAGATACTCTCCCAGGTAAAATAATCTATCGAACTTCCAAATTTATATTCTTTCTTAACTGGGAAATTTAGGCTCGGTTATACCAAGCCCAGTTAAGAAAATCCTCAATTAAGCATCGGAATGAATAAAAATAATCTACCGATCAATTTTGATCAAAAGTTCATCGAAATTATTTCACCAAAACACGAAGTGTATCGATGTATCATCACTATTTGCCAATAATACCACTAATTATGAAGTATTTATTCGATATTCACGATCGAATGACTGAATAAAATCACTCTACGATGAATTCCTAAAATTGTCTAAATGTGGAATACATTTATTCCAGACATAAACTCATTCAGACAATTTATTTGGCTAGCAGGGCTTGGTGCAACCAGTCCTGATATTTTCTTCTAAACCAATTCATTATCAAGAAAATTTCACAATAAGAGCCAAATTTATTATGTTGATTAGGTAGATTATTTCGGTAATGAGTGGCTTTGTGAAAAAAAGTTACAAGATATTTTCGTAGAGGATTTCCTTGTCTAAATAAAATTTCTTCTTACGAAAAATGTCTTTTGACACTTGTCTGCAAAATCGGCTCCGGTACGTTTGGTCCAAAATCTTTTGGTCCCATCTCTTTTTGTCCAACGTCAGTTCGTCCAATGAAGTTTTTGGTCCAATTTTATTTCGTTCAATCATTCTTTAGTCCAATATTTTCTTTGTCCAATGTAATTTTGGTCCAAAAAAATGTAGATTATTTTGGGAAATGGGAAATTATGTAGAGATTTTTTTTCAACATTTCAAGTAATTGAAACAATTTTTTCAAGGCCTCTTCTCCATTTTTTCTTTTTTTCGAGTATCTGAGGGTGTGCAAAAATCCACGCACTGTTAGTTTATCTCGATCTTTGTTTGATGGAACAATTATTCCGTATTCTTCCTCATTCGTATCCATCGCGAGCTGTCCATAAAAATTCAATTGTTTTTTATAGTTTTATTTCATTCTCCTTCGATCTCTAGACACTAGGTTTTTCGTTTATTTATTGCGCGAATTTGAATTTCGATCTGTCTTCGATGGCAGTTCTAAAGGCACTGTTGTACTGGGTTTGTACGTTGCTCGCGTGTACGTGAATCTGGTTTGGCGTCGTTATCAATGGGTAATTGGTTTTGAGTTTCTTGGGTTTGTGTTTGTATTTACCTGTGTTTATGGTGTATTTAAGCCCTTTAGTCTGGGCCAAATTGGACGTATTACTCATTGGACGAAATGATTTTTAGACCTAGTGATTTTTGGACGAAGTGATTTTGGACGAAATGTCATTGAAAGAATTGTTTTTGGACTAAATGACCCCGATCCTGCAAAATCACTTATTATCGTATGTAATACCACAAGTGCTTCAAAATTATGAGGTATTTCCCGATAGGTTCGTTTGAATGCAGGGAACCTTGAGGAAAATACCTGATTAATTTTGAAGCTCGAGTGGTATTCGGAAAAGAATTTTTTCATCCAAATTTCGACAAGAGAATTGCACTATGAGATAAAATCCATTTGTCTATTTTTCTATGTTTTTGAGACCGTTCAATTTCCACGTTTTACGGACTGTTATGCCTTTTAATCGGGACGTTTCGTTTGTTAGAAGGTAGATAATATAGAAAAAACTGGCTGTTATCTCTCTTGATTAGGATTTTTCTTTAATAGAGGGAATTGGTTGTAAAGGTTATAAAATTAGGGGTCGGTTGCACCAAGCCCTGTTATCCAAATAAACCGCAGGGTAAAATTTACCCTCGGGGTCAATTATGTCGGAAGGGCCATCATTTTTCAATATTTGACCCGAAGAATAATTTTTTATTTATCCTATAGCCTCGTTTGAATTAACACTGATTTAACCTTGGGATTAAATTTTATTTTTTGTTCCTGGGATAAATTTGAGATACTCTCCCGGGTAAAATAATGTATCGAACATCCAAATATATTTTTTTTCTTATCTGACGTTTTCGTTACCCGGAGCTGGTGCAACCGGGGTTAAATATAGAAAAAAAATTGGCTGTTATCTCTCTTCATTAGGATTTTTTTTCTTTAAGGATAATCGGGCGAGCCCGGAGGGGTAGAAAAAAAGCAGCCATTTTTTTCTTTTTTTTTACGTATTCTTTAAATGATGGAAAAAGCGTGCGCAAAGTTTCAGACTGCAGGGGAGCATCGTTAATTTTTATGAATTTTTGAAAAAGTGGTCATTTAACCCGTAATCTTATGGAAATCACCAAAAAAACTGCAAAACCCAAGGAAAAAATGCAGCCAAAGTCATGAAACTTTAGACACATTTAGAACATGTGATCAATGATTTTTTGAGTGAAAAAGATTGTCGCCTAGGAGCATTGTTTAATAATAATAGCGAAAAAAGTACTGAAAAATGAAATTTCTGCGCACGCAGCCCAAAAGAGCAGCAACCTCCCAAGTACCGATCGGGTGGGGGGTAGCGCGGTTAATTTAAACGTCTCTTGAGAAAGAGCGATGAAGCGTTGTGATTGGAGCTCCCTCGAGTCAGCGGTACCAGCTCCTGGTGAAAAAAAAAACTACCGACGCTGTTGCTACTTTTTGGCATGGATTAATATTTTTGCATTTATTAAAAAAAAAAACAATCTGAAAAATATTCAATGCGTGGAACAGATACAAATAAATTTGATTAGCTCCAAAAATAATTTTTAACCAGAGATACTCCCTAATGGTGCCTGAATTTTGAATCCGAATGGGAAAAATTTTTTTGTTCAGCGATTGGTTTTCTGCAGGAAAACAATAGAAACCTCTCCGCCTCACCTCCTACATTATTTCCTCCTCGCCCGATTATCCTTAAAAGTGGAAGTCGATTGTAAGGATTATAAAATTAGAAAGTCACTTTTTGAGCTGTCAAAAAAATGCATCTGTCAGTTCTAACGAGGGGCTTACTCAACCAGGAAATCTTTTGTATATAGTCCCGCAACTACTATTTTTCCTTGAAGGGTATTGAAGAGGGTGCTTTTTGAAGTGTAAAGTTCCTCCTCCATTTTTGGATCAGACCATTCTAAAATTTTTAATTTTTTAAAATAATTTTGGCCGACTTTTTTTTCATAGTCCGTTACTACTTATTTCAGGGCCGCAACAAAACTTTTTGGAAATAGTTAAATTTTTTTTTTCTCTCCATTTTTGTTACTTTTTTGGCGTAGTTCATTTTCCCACATTCCCCCTCGGCCCCTCGCGGCCCAATTCCTTTCAGGGAAAATAAATAAAGAGAATATTAAATTGAAATATTGAATTTTTTTTTTTGTAGGGGGAGGGGAGTCCAAATACCATTCGTCAAGCCTGTCATTTACCAATCCAATTAATGTTAAACCCACTTCCCTTCTCTCCTCCGCGCATAATTACTCGAAAATTGTCAAACATTCTTGGAAAATCTTGGAAAAATTGTCATTTCGGACATTTACAATGATGGCAACAGAGATTTTTTTTTGAATATAGCATCAGCAGTGCCACTCCATGATTTGGTATGCTTTTGCAATTCCTCGGCGCATGCGTCTGATGTCAGTGACCTAAAAACAACTAAATCCCCATCAATTCCTCAAACCGAAAGGAAAAATCGATATTTTACAGATGCAAAATTACGTAATCGCAAATTACTCTGAGATAAATCATTCGCATCCCCAGCCCATGATTTGTTGTGATTTAGGAATTCCTTGGCGCATGCGCTTGGAGTCAATGGCACAGATAGCCCTAAATTTTCCAAAAACGATGGAAAAATGAATATTACTTGGACTAAAAATGACGCCACCGAAGAACACTCTAGAATATATCATCTACACAACCAACCCATAATTCGGTATGATTTCGGAAAACCTCGGCGCATGCGCCTGATGTCAGTGGCCTTGTGAAACCAAAAAATTCCTCCAGGACAATGGAAAAACAGATATTCCAGGAGATCACATTAAGTCATCTCAAATGCGCTTGAGATACATCGTCCACACACCTAGCCAATGATTTTGTTTAATTTCGGGATTCCGCCACAACTTATTCGCCCAATGGCGTCCATTTACGTGCAGTCAAATCAGAAATTCATCATTCAATTTCTGGGAAATCAAGAAAAAGGCGTGAATGATCGACATGAGAGCTTCCGGAATTCCTCTCGCGTTTCCCAGAGCTTCTTCATATCATTAGGGATGTGTGATTGCAAGGATTATGGCCAAGCGGCCAGACTTAGTCACCCAATGGCATGAGTTCTCGTGCAGTCAAATCAGAAATTCATCATTAAATTTCTGGAAAATAAAGAAAAGCACGTGAATGACCGACATGAGAGCTTCCGGAATTCCTCTCGCGTTTCCCAGAGATTCTTCATATCACTAGGGATGTGTGATTGCAGGGATTAAACTTGCCCAGAGTTATTCACCCAATGGCATGAGTTCTCGTGCAGTCGAAACATAAATTCATCACGAGAATTCTAGAAAATAAAGGAAAACGCGTGAATGACCGACATGAAAGCGTCCGAAAGTCCTCTCGCGTTCCCCAGAGCTTCTCCATATCACTAGGGATGTGTGATTACAGGGATTAAACTTGGCCAGACTTATTCACCCAATTGCATAAG